TGTTTTTTGTATGTGTACATGCCATCAAAGGTGGCACGTTGAAGGGCATGTGTTTCTAAATTACAAATGTTTTACTTGAGTTTTTGTTGAAAGTGTCAGCGCGTCCTCTCTGCTACCCAAACAGTATGTTATACTAGATTAATGTCTTTCTCGTCCGTTCATTGAAACTCCTATAAGTGCTACCTTTAGGAAGTCCTGGGAAATTAAAGACGCGAGTCAGTTTCATGTTTGGTGATGCTCAAGAGGGTTTAGAGGTGCATTGTCTGTGACGGTTACAGCCGTTACTGGAGATGCTAATTACGACCAAAATGCCAAGGAGTGCAGGGGTTTGAACTGAAGAGCAATATGTAATGTTAAAAAGACGGCGTCTGTGCTCTCGGGTGCAAAACTCTTTAAAGTGACTTTGAAGTACAGGCAGTTCTTCTTTTAGAGTCGGTCTATCGCAATGAATCTGACGCGACTGTAACGGCGAACGTTTTCTTTTTGACTTTAGTACACGAGCTTTTTTCCTCGGATCACCTTTATCTCTTTCCTTTTTTCTTTCCACGTGTACGTTTCTCTAGTTTTTCTTTTTCTTGCAGTCCATGGCCCATTTGCTTATCCGTTGTTTCTTTTTCTACGTCCTATCAATGTAAATAGTTTTCCGCCCTCTCTCAAACTTCCGTGCCTCTCTATTTTTATTTCCGTGATAACGAACTGTCTCTGTCAATTAAGTATTGCTATGACTAGGGTGCCGACTGATAAATTGCATTCGTTGATTATAAAGATATTGAAAGACTCCGTGTACACGATTATACTAACAAAGATTTATCATAAGTGAAACATCAAAGGTTATGCGTTTACCACAAAGTCGTATTCAGACTCGTTATTTTTTAATTGTATGCCGGTCTTCCTCTCGCATTACTCTATTTCGTTTCTCCTTTTTGCTCTTTCTCCTGCCCTTACTCTTGATCTCTTTGTTAACAAGTAACTAACTGTGTGTTCGTTTGCTTGCAGGTGAGTGTGTGTGTGTGTGTGTGTGTGTGTGTGTGTGTGTGTGTGTGTGTGTGTGTGTGTGTGTGTGTGTGTGTGTGTGTGTGTTTATGTATGTTGGTTTATGTACGTGTACTTGTATCTGTTTACATGTGTCCATATTGTGTGTGCGCATTTGTGGTTTGGCGTGTTCGTGTGTTACTTTCAGTCCATCCTTCTCTTACTTGTGGATGTCTGTTAATTATTATACATCATATGTGTATGTATGGCCACCAGTAGTACGTTCTGTTATTCTACCTTAGATGAATACTGAGTAAATTGCTTGCAATAATGAATACAAGGGCTGCAGTCTATAGCAGTTTTTGAATGAAAATATTATGAACCCTTCGTTTTTCTTACACGTATTGTCATGTTTTTGTTTTTGCAGAGGTCTATGGTTCGACAGTCATTTTGGAACTCTCCTGAAGGTAGACGGCTTTGGGAACATCCTGGTCTGCGTCCGAGGCTTCCACTTCATGAGAATGTGAGTACTGCATGTCGCGAGCTGAGTACTATATGTCGCAAGCTGAGTACTGCACGTCTTGAGACGAGCGCTTTCTTGTTTTATGTCCATGTCCAATTTTCGACTCTTGGAAGTTTTTGTCAAAAATGTGAAGACTATTGAAAAATCTTCCCCTTGAGCCCAAAGTTATCACGGAGTTAGTTCACATGTTCTGTGGATTATCAGGTTTTTTTGTGTTGACTCCAGTTTATATGACTGGAATTCAGTACGGTACTTTAAAATTCCCCCAAAACCGGGGAAATAAATCTAGTGCCCACTAAATTGGAGATGTACTGCGTGGGTTGTTATCACAAATAATCTTGCCACTGCTTAAATATGGGCAGATTCCTATGAAAAATTAATTGTGAAATTACAAAAAAAAAAAGCTGGATGCATCCGTCGAATAACAAAGCTTGGGTCATATCTGTTTCAAAGAGAGAAATATTTCCATGCACCCCCCCCCCCCCCC